GCCAAAATACCTAATCTCATTTTAACTAGGCTCCATCTGAGCATCAAGGATACTGAGCTCTCCATGAATAAACATGATGTTACGACGGGAAACCCTGTGACTGAAGTATATAAAAATGTAGCTGAAAGAAAAGACTGGGAGCCCCCATCCCCTCCCACCCTCTCCCCAGGGAGTTGGGGAGTTGAACTGAGAAGGGGTGAAAAGCAGCAGATTTAAATTTCAAGGTCTTCAAACATTTGTACCATTCCTATTAAACCCTATAACACTAAACACGGTGATTCTAATAAAATCCTTGCGTGTGCAGCTTCCAATTGTAATCACGTTTCTCTTTTGGAGGGGGTGTGTAATAGCGACAAAGGCAAAAAATAAATCTCAAAACAGCAGAAGCACAGAATGGAACCCACCCCCTTCCCTGATGTGTGTGGTGTTTTATTAAAATAAGTATCCTAACAACATGAAAAATATATACGTACAAACATCTTCATTAAAGCGCAGACATACTTTGTCAATTTGTATGGGGAAACAAGGGATAGCAAAGTTATCCAAAACAAGGATTTTTTACAATTTCGCTGGTAAAGTTTCTTAAACTCTGTAACAATCCAACATTCGTGAAATCCCTTGGCTAAAAATGAAGGTCCTTAGGATGGGCCTCATATTTTTTCCTATATTTTCATCCCATAGCACAGACCTCAAAAAAAAATTTTTTTTTTAATAGTTTTTGTTATTCTGGAAGCTTATGCAGAACAAATTCTGAAGTCTTTAGGACACATTTTCATATCCTTTCTGACTGTAGTTGATGTGCAGTACTAAATTATATCATGGTGCAGTCCTGTGCATCTGGGACAGCAAGACCACGAAATGCTTGAATTTTGGGAGACACCGGGTCAACTCCTGGTGACTAACACAAGGGAAAATGAAACTCCCTTCCATTGCCTGGGAATGGCACTGGTCAACAGTGACACAGATCTCAAAGTTTTTCTTAATTTCATATATAAGGGGGGCAAACACCCAAACATTTCTTTATAAAATTTCACTGAGATTCTGATGTTGTAAAGAAATTTTATTTGCCAGAACAGCCAATGGCATTTAAACTATTTAAACTTTTTTTGTTTGTTTGGTTTGCTTTGCTTTGCCCTGTATCATATTGTTAAAAAAAAAAAAAAAAGAAAAGAAAGAAAAGAAAAGAAAGAAAGAAAGAAAGAAAGAAAGAAAGAAAAAGAAAAGAAAGAGAAAAAAGAAAAGATGAGGTTCTAAAATCTCTTTGACACTGGCTCTCTTTTGCCACAAAGATTAGAGATCTACATAACCTCCTGATGAAATAAATGTGGATAATATGGGGGTGAGAGGAGGATGCCCAGAACAGCTTCAGGGGGTACCAGGCCCCTAGAGGCATTCAAAATTGTGTTTCTCAGGAAAGGTGTTAATTTCAATGATATCATTCTCAAACTCTCCTCTTCCATCTATTTGTTGGTCATGGGCTAGTTAACAAATGTTTATTGAGTGCCTGCTTTGTCCCAGGAATTCCTTGCTCCAAGAGCTAGCCTTAAAGAAGACTGACATAGGATCTCTGTCTTCAACACTTCCTCCACAATTAGCCTATTATTTCAACACCATTTGTGATTTTGAACTAAATACCAGGAGCAAAAAAATAATAATTATACTCTACTCTAGTTCACAATACTATCTCATGCTGAAGCAAACCAAACCCGGGACTTATTCATAGTGTCTGAATTTTTTAATGTAAGGGCTTTGCAAGGAATGCGCCAATGAGGACCCAAGGTCCAAGCCTACTGTTTAGTAAATTACAGAAACAAACAGGTTTAATTCCCAGTCTAATGCTCTTAACTAAAAACTACTTGGCTTCCAAAAGGGGTGGAATTGACTTACTTGGAAGAAATGCACAAACCCCCGTGAGAGGATGCCCTGACAGTCAGCAATGGGAGGGGGCCCAGTAAACACCAGTTCTTCACTACTCTCCTTCCTGTCCATGAAGAAGGAAGGTTCCAGGAAACTTCTAAGCATTTGATCTGCAGTTTATTCCTCACAGAATGACCGGCTGCAATTCCTTCCTAGCCCAGTCAACGTTGAAAAAGGAATGGGGAGTTAACAGTATTACCTAGGTGTGCCTGTGTGGGTGGTGTTAGGAATCAATAAATTAACACTGTGTAACATAGGGCCCCAGACCAGGAGAGAGAGGAGAAAGCCTGAGGTGGAATCATTGGTTAAATTCTCAAAGTAATTGCTCAACTATCTATTGGATTTTGAGTGTGAATAAACTGGTAATTCTTGCTGGGTAGTATGGTATTTTATCCCAATCAAGCCATCTTTGGCTCAGAACAACTTTATCATAAATAACCATCGTGGGTAAAGGTTCAATATAACTTTTTTCCTAAATATTTTCTTTTCCAGTTCCAAATCATAATCAAAAGTCAATATTTAACATAAATATTTAAATATCTTGGGAGCACCCTGGCTGGTGTGGTTCGGTTGGTTGGGTGTCATTCCCAGGATGGAAGGGATGTGGGTTAGATTCTTGGTTAGGGCATGTGTCCAGTTTCGGGCTGGAACCCTGGTAGGGGCATACAGGAGGCAGCTAATGGCTGTTTCTCTCTGTGTGTCCTTCTCCCTTCCTTTCTCTCTCTCTCTCTCAAAAAAAATCAATTGGAAAATATTTTTAAAGTAATAAATATCTTAGGGAAATCATATGATTCTTTTTTTTCATACAAAATGAAAAGGAAAAATGTATGGCTCTAGGTTCATGAGTTTAGTTACAATAGGCAAAGAAAAAAGGAAGTGCCAGAGCAATTATTTGGTTAATTAAAGAAAAGATCTAACTAGGGAGGGGGGAGGGGCATGTTCGGGTTGACCCTGGGACACACCAGGAGAAAGTTAAACTGTTTTCTGTCACAGCCAGGGAGGTTTACACACATTTTAAGAGTTGTCAGAGCAAGCTTTTCTCTCCAGGTTCTTGAGTTATGAAGCAGTTTTTCTCCTAAGAAGAAATCTTTAAAAGTAATACCATAATCCAAAAGTTAGGAATACCTGAGGCTAGCTCTCAAAAAAAATTAATAATAATAATAATAATAATAATAATGTGCCATTGTTAAGAAACATATCATGAATGGGGGGCTTTTCAAAGGTATCCTCTCAAATGTGAAATAAAGTGGGGACCTTGTGGCATCCTGAGGCCGGGGTGGAGAGGTCTCTCCCCTGAGCCTCCTGGCTGAGCCCTGGCCAAGTGGAAATTGAAGGCACAGGCGAGCACAGGTGTGGGAGAAACCTGCCTGCTCTCCTCACCAAGGAGGACGGGAAACGCACCTCTTTCCACAACTCCTCCCAAACTTTCCAAATGTGATGTGGATACGGGTTCTTTCTCAATCCTGTTGCTCTTCAAGAATTGAGCCATCCTGACCCTTGGTCTCTTTTTTTAAACCCAATCCTATTTTTAAGACATTTTTACCTGAGATTCTTATTGCCATGAACGAATGTGTGTGTGAACTATAAGACTGTTTATAGTCTCCTAATTCTGAAAGCAAGCCACAGCAACCAATCATCTACGCAAGCACTCGAGATTGCAGCACACAGTGGCTAAGGTCTGAGAGACATAAAAACTGTCACACACAAGTACACACGCAGACACACACACCAATGTCAAAGCTCTGTGAGCAAAACAGTTTCTACTTCTGGAAAGCGACTGACTTCCAGGGAGAGCAACAGTGTCCTCCTTTATATTTAACCCCGATGGAGTTATGAACACATAAAGAAAATAGCAGGGATCAAGACAGCCCCGTTTAAAAAAAAAAAAAAAGCCATCAGTGCTTGTCCAGCAGGTAGCCAGTCAGAAAGCAGGTCACATCTTGTTAGCTGTATTAAATATGGTAAACGTCATGAATACTCCATGGCTCCGTTGACAATTCAAGCAAGTGTGTTTTATGTTATCCTGCCGCCTCGGCTGAGCTCCTTTCCAGAGTTGAGAGTCGCTCTCCCGTCTAAAATTCCACCACAGCTTTTCCCTAAACGCTCTCTGCCATCCCCCTCTGGGCATTTGCTCTCTGCAGACCAGACTGACTGACTTCCCAGGGATTTCTACTTCCTCAAGTGACTTTGAGAGAACTCCTCCTTACAGCACTTCCACACAAAGCCCCAACTTCCAGGCTCAGGGACCGCCCAGGACCTGCCTGCCTGCAGAGCCAGCACAGAGTCATTAAATATTGCAATGGCAGGAGGCAGCCTGGAGTTTTGCATGGACAAAGTTCTCCAAGTCCTGTCCTCCTCTCTGCTCCCAGACTTGCTGGCCCCTGGGCTGAGGCTCCCTCTCTCAGGCACAGAATCCCACACATGCAGAAAGTCCAGCTGCCTTGGCTGCGGGGCCAGCCCCTGAGGAAGGCAGAGCCCTGAGGAGACACTCCCACCCCCACAGGAGAAAGTCAGGAACCCCCTTTGCCCCAAGCAACTGCTTTCGGGTTTCACACAGAAATCTACAGCCAGCCGTGTCCCCAGCAGGGCCAGTTCGGGAAAAGTACTCGGGGTTACTCTCCTGCCCCCCTCATCTGGATTTGGATGACTTGAAAAAAAGCCAATGCAAGTCAAAACAGACTTCCCTTGGGATGTGTTTTTAAAAATCATTTTGCGGGATGCAAATGATCGCAAACCCCTTTAGCATTCCATCTCCAGAAACGTTTGTTCACGGACCCCCTGGGAGCCTGCAAACCCTGGGGCTCTGGGACAAACCCGGGGGTTCTGGGACAGCAGCCTGTCTGGGGACCCCCCAAGCCAGGCAAGTGCTGGGCTGTCTGTTTGAGGATTCCAGCAGAAACTGTCCCCAGCTCCAAGCGTTCCAACTAGTGGCTCCATCCTGGCGCTCGTTTCCACGGAGGTGGGAGTAGCTAGCGGGACACTTCCCACGGAATTCAGCCGGCATCCCGGGAAGAGCCCGCGCACAGTTTGCAGAAAAATATACACAAACGCACGCCCCAGAGGGTGGGGGGTGAAGTACTTACCTCTGTGCGAGACTGCAGTCTCTTGTTCATCTCGTAGATCCGGTACTCCGGCTGCACCATGTAGGGTGTGTGTCTCCTATAAAATGGGCCGAAAGGAGAAGAATAGAAGGGGTCGTGCGGCGTGCTGGACATCTTGCCTGCCTGTGGAGAATCACGCTGCACAGAGTGTCAGGAACGTCCATGCAGAGCACATGGGCTGTGTTCCTCGCGGTACAAAGTAGGCGCACGCACACGCGCTCACACACACACACAGCGGCAGGCAGGCAGGCTGCACACACTGGCTGGGAGCTGCTCTCAGAGCCCTCTACAGCGAGGAGCGGGAGCGAGGAGGAGGGAGGGTGGGAGGGAGGAGGGAGGGAGGGAGGGAGAGCAGGCAGAGGGAGAGAGCAGGAGCTCTGGAGAGGAGGGAGGGTGGGAGGGAGGAAGGGAGGGAAGGAAGGAAGGAAAGAGAGGGAAGGAGGGAGGGAGAGAGGGGGGGGAGGGAAAGAGAGAGAGAGAGAGAGAGAGAGAGAGAGAGAGAGAGAGAGAGAGAGAGAGAGAGAGAGAGAGAGAGAGAGAGAGAGAAAGCTGGATAGCTTTAGGCACCACTGCTTGTTTTGAAAGAAGCAGTTTGTGGAGAGGTCATTTCCTGTCCACACTGTAGAGGAGTAGTTCAAAAATATAATTCTCCTCCCAGGCTGACAGAGGTCTAAGGTTTGGTTTTAATTTTTTCCCTCCAGCCAGGATCCTTCCCCACCTGACTGCTGAGCTTGTTAGCATAGAGGTGGTTGCACAGGCTGCCCAAGCCACTCACCCCTGACAGCCACACTGTGGTCATGTATCAGAAATGTGAGGACTACAAAACTCGGCACCCTGATCCCCCCTCAAGGGAGCTGGGGATTCACTCCGTGCAAGGATTTCCCTCCATACTCACCTCCGGCTACAGTTTTGTTTTTACTTGTTGTTGTTCCAAGAGCTTGGCATATAGTCTTTGCATTTCAAGCCTTCCTCACCCTCACCCCTCCCCAATCTCTTCCCCCCTCCACCTCCTGCTCCTTCTCTAAGGCTTCCTTCCAGGCTGGTTTGAGGGGGCCCTGGAATGCAGCTTGCCTAGGCATTCCCAGGTAAAAACAAGAATTGGGAAGATTGCATGCCAGAGGTACATCCATGAAGCAATGGACTTTCTCCCCCAAGAGGAAAAAAAAAAAAAAAAAAAACCTCCAGAGGCAGACCTCCCAAAAAGATAGAAAAGGCCAGAAAGGGAAAACTTCCCAAAAAAATGACCATGGAAAATTCGGTTGAGTGGGAAACTGCAGATAATTGAATGGCTCATCTCCAAGCATCTCTGATGGGGATGAGTCTTTATTTTGGTCAAGTATGTAAATCTTTATCTCAACTGTGCTATATGATAACTGGAAGAAAACAGTTACCGTGGCAGGGGAAAGAAGCACTATAGAGTAGGGGTGTCGAACTCAATCAGAGAAGGGGCCAAAATCTAAAATCCAGCCTAAATCGTGGGCCGAATGGTTTACTGAACAGTCATAAACTGTCATTGTGATGGAAACGCAGCGGAGTGCAGTGATGACAGCGCTGTGCGGGCCACATTGCAAGGCGTGGCGGGACGGATTTGGCCCGCGGGCCTTGTGTTTGACACATGTGCTATAGAGAATAAAATTATCTATAGGGCAATCAAACTCTGCTGGAACCAATGATAAGGAAATATACACCCTTACACAGAGCTCAGACACAGAAAATGTAAACGTGTGGTGCAAATACCTAGCTAGGTCAGTGACATTAAAGAAAGCAAGCAAAGACCACCAAAAACAAGATGCATGCAAGATGTGAATGTAAATGTATGCAAATGAGACCTTTCTTCTTTTTAATAGGCAGATTAATTAACTTCCTGCACCACTCAGGGCTTGGGGTACCTCCAAGCCACTAGCCAACAGGGGATAAGGTATTGCTAATACTGCAATGTACACTCTTAAGACTAGTCAGGTCCAGAAATGCCCCCAAATCACTGTCCCTCCTTGGTCCCTTTCCATATTGCATGACATGGTTGCAGAGTCCATCCCCCAAAAAGTCCAGCGCAGCCCCACACAATCCTGTGAATTGCCAGGATGCGATGAGGGAGGCAGTGCACTAAGGCTGCTGGGAGCTTGCTCCAGAGACCCCGGAGAAGGCCAGCATGCTCCGTGTCAGGTTTCATTACAAATCCAAAAGCTGGACCAAATTTGCTGCAAGGTTTGTCAAAACACACAACCTTCTAGGACAGGATTTCAAACAAATTTGGAGTGATTTATGTTTTGGAAAGATGGCCATGGCAAAACCTAACAGTTCCTTGTGTTTAAATTCCCAAACTAAAGGCAGTCAGTCCAAGAGTTGAGTGCCTGCCCGAGTTTCGTTTACCTGGCTGTTTCTATGCAAGAATCAAAGTTACACCTAGCAGGTATGGGAAGCCCAGTATTGATTGACCCAAAAAGGAAAAGCTCAAAAATTCATTTAGGGAACCCCTTTCTGAATGAAGGCACTGGTATGTGTGTGTGTGTGTGTGTGTGTATTTTCAGTAATTTTTTGGACCATTCCAAGTTATAGCGCTGTAAATATTGCTCTTGTTAATACCTAATCCAAATTCAGAAACGTCTGAAACTTCATTTTGCTTGGTCCATGTGGTTTCTCAGCCCTCCCATTTCATGAGTCTCCAAACTGGTGATTCCTCCTTATTCTACTCAGAATGCTGACCTTATAAAAGGAATATTGATCATGTCCCATGTTTCCCCTTCAGTGTTTTTCTGCTGTACATAGGAAAATGTCCAAACTCCTCCCTCTGCATGGTTCACAAGGCTGGTTAAGAATCTCTCTCTGACTCATTCTGTCTATCAAACACATCACACACACAATTAATTAGCTACACTTGATCTTCCTGAAGTTAGAATCTCATTCCACAAATGTACATATTTGTGCTTTTGTCTCTTGTTTACCTGCAAAGTTCTACTCATCCTGGTATCCAATTAAATTGTCTCCTTCCCTGTGAATGCTGTTTCACTTCCTCTTCATGAATTCATTGGTTCCACAGATATTCCTTTTATAAAGGATGCAGGCACAGGCTATAGCACCAGCCCATAGCACATTTCAACCCTGGTTCCACCACTTACTTGTCCTGTGAACGTGAGCAAATTGCTGGTCCTCTATGTATCTCAGTCCCCTCATTTTTAAAATTGAGGACAATGATAGTAACAACCCATCAGACTGTTGCAAAGAACTAGATGAAACACTACTCTCAAGTATTTTAGAACCCACACATATGAATGCTCAAAAAATGTTATTATTCTCACTTACCTAATACAGTTGACACTTGAACAATTCTAGTGTTAGGGGTACCCCCCGAAAGTTGAAAATCTGTGTATAATTTTTGACTCTACAGTCAGCCCTTCACCTTCACCAATCCAACCAGCCACAAATAGAAAATAGTAGCTTTGCATTCCCAACTGCAGATTCACAACAGTCAAATGTAAAATTCTGTTTGGGAATCTGCAGATTGGAATCCCATGAATATGAAGGGCTGATGGTTATTTATTGAAAAACATGTTTAAATGCACTCATGCTGTTCATACCTATGTTGTTTAAGAGTCAAGTGTATATGCTTAATTGTAAGGAACAACTGAGGGCAAGGTGGACACAGGAGATAGACTCCCTGCCTTCCTGTTCCTTGCAACCAAGATGGCGGGTGAGGAGGACTGTGTAGAACCAGTAAGTCTCTGGTAACATAACTTTGAATTGTAGTGTGTGCTATGAAGCCAATACATAAAAGGAAGAGATGGAGAATAATTTACTTTTGGGGGTCAACAAGGTATCTTCTATATTCTTCTATTGGAGAATTTCCATACAAACATAGTAATTGCTGTCATTTGTGAAGTTATTTACTATGTGGTGGACACTGTGCTGAGTGGTTTCCACAAATATTCTTCATTAATCTCACAATAAGCCAATATGATTTATTCAATTACTTTCCCATGTTATAGATATGGATGCTGAGGCTTTTGAGATGCTAAGAAACTTCTTCAAAGTCACACAATTAATAAGTGATAGGGACAAGATCCATACCAGTTTGCTTAAGTCTCAAGCTCTGGTTCATTCTCATCTTTAAGGCATCTGTTTTTGTCTCTAGTGACCAGCGTTGTCCTGAGGCCAGAGTAGGTGCTCAAGCCATGTGTCCCCAGTTAAATGGGAGAAAAGCCAAGAGGATGAAGTGGCTGTTATCACTGGAATTCCATTCTTTCTCCTGCTTACTTTCAGATACCTGCTGTCTCCCACCCCCACTTATACCCATTCTCCTTGAAGCCTTGTCCAACTGCGCTCACCTTTTTTTATTTGTTCAAAAGTTCCTGGCAGATATCCCAAAAGCTCCACTATTAGGTGTTTAATCCTTGGCCCCATCAGGTTAACTGGCTGGTTTTGACTCTTGTCTGTCTGTCCTGCTTCCTTGCTTCTTGATGAACCAGCTTGATGGATCTGTCTTCTTATAGCCCAGGACTGAGCCTGAGAAGAGAAACCAATAAGGTGCTCATTATAAGCCTGCAAATCATCTCCTTTGGGATCCCATAGGGAAATATGATAATCAATATCTGTATACCATAAAAGAATGAGCAAGCGTCATTACTGATGTTTCTCTCTCTCTCTCTCTCTCTCTCTCTCTCTCTCTCTCTCTCTCTCTCTCTCTCTCTCCCTTCCTCTCTCTGAAATCAATAAAAACATGTTTTTAAAAAAATAAAAAATGAAAAATTTAAATATGAATGAGCAAGCCTAACCCCAGTATGACAGTTCTCTTACCCCAAAGATTTTTGGACCACACTAGTTTACATATAATTTTGCATGTTGAGTATTGAATAAGCTCCAAAAGACCATGTCTTGCTATATTCAGCTCAGATTTAACCCAGTGAGTGCTTATTTTACCTTTAATTTGAAATGTTTGTCAACAGTTTACAAAAATCAAGATTTTCATATAAAATCAAGATTTTCTAAAGGACTTATATGCATACATATTAGCATAACCAATGGACACAGACACTGGAGCGGTGGGGGCTTGCTTGGGGTGGGAATGGCTGGGAGGGGCAGGGTCAATTGGGGGAAAAGGAGACATAAAAAAAAAATCCAGATTTTCATCTTAGACAATAAAAAAAAATTCCAGAGTTTCATCTTCTCTTGAAAAATCATAAGTCCTGGGATGTGACTCCACCATGATTTCCATCACTCTCTAGCCTTCACCAGCCAATGTCCCTAATTTTCATTTGCGTGCCTGGTCCCTTTAGGTGTTTAAGTCATTGTCCCTTTACTTAATCTATTCAATCGCACCCTCT